GGAGGTGTTGGGAGCCACCTGGAGGCACAGGTTGGTCCTGCAGTTTGGAGGTATACCTGGCTTAGCCATGTGGGGCTGAGCACCCTTGCCTGCACCCTTGCTTGCACATGCTCAGAACAGCAGAATGGCATTAACCAATCAGGACAGCGTTCAAGCCTCTCCACCATTTAAAAGCAGCTGCCTCGGGGCCCAATGCTCTCTCTAAGCTTTCTCTCGTCCCTGCTCTATCTTTCCTTCCCCCAATTTTCCTCAATCAAAGGGCTCCGAATAAAGATGTGACCAGGGAAGGAATTCTCGTTTTTGGTGGCGTTCATTCCTGCTGGTCAGGATGCGCCCCGCAACTGGTGCTCGAAGCCCCGGGACGCCGAGGGACCCTGACAACTACGCCGGGGGACCCTGAGAAGGAAGCGCCCAGCAACGCGCTGAAAGCCCGGGAGAAAAAGCCGAAATCAGACACCAGGACAGAGAGCCGTGAATTTCAGAACTCTGAACACGTGGAGCGGTGAGTGACGTCAGTTAAATCCTCCAGAAAGGGGAGGAAAAGAAATGAAAAAAGGATAGGCCTAAAAAGAAAAGAAAATACAAAAAAAAATCAAAGTTAAGGTATCTGAAAGAAGGTACAAAAAGCAACGGGGAAGAAAAATCCCTTAAGTTCAGTGCAGGAGGAGTGTGAACAGCAGCAAAAAAGGCGAGGTAACTAAGGCGGGACTATGAGGACGATGGGGTACGGGAGACCGCGGCTTCTGCTCCCTCTCCGTCCACCTGCGTACTCGCTGTTAGAGACTCAGAGGCAACAGTCTCGTAGGGAGGCGAGTTTGATCATGCTTGAAGACTGCCTTTCCTGTTCTTAAAGAGCCACAGAGCTTTTGGAGGTGATTTTCGCCTAATTTTGTTTAGAGAGCTCAGTCTCTGGCTCTCACGTACAGAAAACTTTAATTTTGATTGAGGAAGTGGCCAGGCGGTGGTGGCGCACGCCTTTAATCCCAGCACTCGGGAGGCAGAGGCGGAAGCTGCGTGGTGAGCAGCAGCGCCGCTAAAGACCTAAAGACGGAGAGGGGCCAAACGCTGAACCACGTTTCCATAGCAACATGGGCGAGTGGAGGAAGCTCACTGGCGGGGCCACGTGCTGAGTGCTCGTCACTCCCCGGCCCCTGGGAAGGTCTGAGACTGGGGCCCCC